GAACAAACTTTATAAAATCGAATGTCAATTACTGATACGAAACTCTGTTGTTGAATAATTATTCATTACCAAGACACCACATCCGCAACGAAAACAAATAATAACAACACTTGATCCACGTATCTTCGGTACGACTCCCGTGAGACTATGAGATCACCATAACTCGTCGATATCGCGTAGCGAAATAAATCCGCGGAATAGAATGCAATATAGCGTCGGCAGACGAGTATAAAGACCGCGATTAATCTGAGAATCGCAGCAACGATGACCAGAAAGATGGTAACCAATCCCCCCGGTTTCGTTCGTCAAAGCGTATCATTTCTTATTGGGTCAAGAGTGCACTCCGTTATTTGCCACGGCAACTTGTTTCGCGATAAATTGTTTTTCCAGATATATTTCTGCTCCAATGTTTCCCAATCATTCTTATCTGCCACGACCCGCTTTGTCATCGAATTCTCTTTCTTATTCTATCCCCAGCCTATCACGTGTTAGGCTATCTATTCGTGTAGTCAGCTATTTGTTCCTACATATCTTCAGAGCCGATTTTTCTAATATTATTCTTTGAAATGAATGTGAACGGTGAAAATGGAAAAAATGCGAGGCTTTGCGAGTTTACGGGATTATACGATGTCCCCATGTGGTTGTTAGGTTAGGTGAAGTAGTAATTTCTTTTGGGAGATAAAATATCTGTGGAATATCTGTCTATTTGTAAAAACATTGTGCAATACAGAGATAATATTATAATATTATTTGTGATATTATTTGTGAAAGTGTTCATTGACTTTTTATTATAAACTAACCTCGAAGATAATATAAATTAAAAATCAGATCTTATTGTGTTTGAATCGAGATGAATTATTCAATAATTCAGATGCGATAATGTTCAATAATATAAACTTAGGAATTGTCATTACAATAAAATCTTACAAACTTAAAGATATTTATATAAATAATAGTTAAAAATTATATTTAAATTGTCAAATAATTTAATCAATGTGAATTACCTATGGAATTATACAATTACAATTAAAAAATTTCGTTCAACAGATGGAACGTGTAGATTAAAAATTTCATCCAAATTTTTCGACTTACAAAACAATTTCAAAATTACCACCAATTTTATGCTTCACATCAGCATAAAAAAGAAAAAAGAAAATTCAAAGCTTTTGAAGTATCGTGAGCCGAAATTTAATTCCAAACATCCCAAAAAGTATCCTTACAAAAGAGAGAGAAAGAGAGAGGGAGAGAAAAAAAAAACCACTCACGACGATCGTGATGTAAAAACGTGTAATCCAAAGTGCGGTTGTTCTTTTCGCGTTCAAAGCCAACGGATCGTTATTACGTTTAATTGGACGTGAATTGGCATGCCTAGTAGAAGGGGTAACTAGAAAAGAAAAAAAAAAAAAAAAAAAAAAAAAGGGGTTCGCGAGCTTTCACACGGTTTTCCCTTTCGCAAAGTTTACCGGCCGCTCTTTAAATATGTGCGGTCGACTTTAACACGCCACGGTAAAGACCAGCACGCCTCAAGAGTCCGCTCAAGTACTACTTTTCTTCTTCTAATCTGCAAGTAAGTTGTCGCCTTTGTGGTAACACGGTTATTATAATGCGACCGTATATGTGTATGTATGTGTGTCTAAGCAACGTTACACACACATGCAATAGAGCAACGTGCACACACCGGCACGCCGCTAATAGCCTCCTCTAGCGGCCCGTGAAAAAAACCACAAATCCGATGGTTGCTGGGAAATTAAGGAACATTTAGTATATAGTATGGTGTAACGAGTGGTTTCACGCTTGAATTTCTTCCGCGTGCTGGTACACTTAACCTATTATTATTAACGAGATATAGAAAAATACGTATTGAAACGGGTGCAATGAAATGTAATATTGAGATTTTACGTACAAGTGTTATTCTGTTGTTTGAAGATTTGGTAAGAATGTGAAAAATATCGAGGAAGATTTTTATAATAATGTCCGTTGAAACAGTGGAAAGCCATGTTCGTTTGAGGCAGTTTGTTTCTCGATCTTTTTTGAATTACGAGTTCTTCAATCTGAAATAACGAGAATTTTAAAAATTAATATTATTTTATATCGAATGATTAATACATTATAATTGTGAAAGTATCATTCTGATACTTTGTAAAATATGACATGAAGAAAAAAATAAAAATAACAGAGACTTTTCAAAAAATACTTCGTGAAAGAAGCTTGAAGATCGTGATGCACAGTGATTAGATGATGTAAGAGAATATTTTCAGATTATTGTTAATTAGTTTTTCGCATAGAAACTTAATGATACATGATAAATAAAATTAATAAGAGAAAATTTGAAATGTTTATTTTTAAGTCCTTTAGTGTCCTTAGTGATGATATATTATAATTGTTACAATTGACAAGAAATGTGATGTAATGAAAAGTGAATTCAATAATAATGAGAAAAAAAATATCAATTAAGTCTCCTATGACATGAATCACCGGAAATAAAGAAACTAAAGAGACAGATATCTCCTTAACTAATAATAGTAGCTAATAATTTATCAATCAGGATTATATAATTGCATAAAATATTTCAATGCCAATCAACAGTTGATGATATCAGCATTGATTTAAACGCTTATTTTTATGTAAGAAATTATGTAAGAAATTTTTATCTAAGAAACTATTAACTATTTCTATTCTAATTTAAAAAATTTAAAATCAGTTGTTAATAATATTCTTAAATATTTGAAATAAATTTAAAAATTATATTTCAGCGTTATACATGCGATTTTGTTTTCGCATCTTTATTTTGCGTTTTATTTATCCAGTGACGATACTTAGATGATATAAGATCGTGTGCATCCTGTCTACATGCACGCAAACACTTATTAGGAATTCACTGAAGGCTGAGATAAAAAAAGATAGAAACATCTTACCAATATTATTTGACATTGAAAATTTTTATTTGTAACTTTTCAAATCTTGAATTATTCATCTTATATTCCAAATTTAAATTCTATGGTGTATAAATATCTTTAAATATCTAAAAGATGAACTAATGCAAATTGAACATCGTATAATTCTGAACAAGACATTCATAGTAATATTAAAACTATTTGATTTTCCAAAAAATATTTCTAATAAATAGAAATTTACTTTCTTCCAAAGGAATATAAGGATACTTGATTAATTGAATTTTTTTAGATAAAAAAATTGAGGATATATGAAAATCAACTTTTTTCTAAAAAAAAAAAAAAAAAAAAAAATTTTTTTTTTCCAAAGGAAAATAAGGGTTCTTGGTTAATTGAATTTTTTTTAAAAAAAAAATTTGGGAAAATAAAAAAAACACTTTTTTTCAAAAAAAAAAAAAAAAATTTTTTTTTTCCAAAGGAAAATAAGGGTTCTTGGTTAATTGAATTTTTTTTAAAAAAAAAAATTGGGGATATATGAAAATAAACTTTTTTCTAAAAAAAAAAAAAAAAAAAACAATCATATATTTTTCGATACAAAATTATTTCCTATCCTATTTATAAAATTGTATTAATTTGGAATTGTTATTTTAAATTTAATTTTCTAAATTTTGTAATTTAATTTAGCGCATGAAGGACAAAAAAATGTAAACCGGTACTTTTGCGTTTATGCTTTTCTTGCGTGAACACATACATATATTTAAATTATATTTTTCTAAAAATAACGAAACATATCTTATCAAAAAGATAAACTCTTGAATCAGCTATTCGGTTCAATAATTCGCCATTAACACTAAATATAAAATATATAAATAACGATAAATAAATAAGAATATGAATTCAAGAAGTTTTATTAAAAATGCATTTATATTCCTTACTTTGCTAAGAAATTTCTTTCCATTTTTTATTCCTCGAAGCTCGATTAAATGCGCGCGCGCGCGCGCATGTCGAATTATCTTGAAAACAGCTTGCTGTACCGTGCGAATTCTCGCGATTTCACAGTTGAATCACGAAACGAAATAAAGAGGCGATTTATTCGACTCCGTTACTCGGAAAACGTGAATCACCAACACGTAATCAGAAACATGTTTATGTTTAAATTTTTTACAAAGTATTTTTCAAATGTTAAAAATTTTTATCGCTAATGATGATTAGAATATTTAATATTGATATAATCGCAATAATCATTATTCAAATGAATTTTCATCAACATCAAATTTCGAATTTTTGAGAAATAAAAATTCAACGAAATCTTCCTTTATATTTAAATTGAAATTTACTGAAAAAAAAAAAAAAAGAATCTTTTCTTGTATTTTTCAAAGAAATTAAATCTCTTTTTTATTATTGATAGATATAAACAACCACGAAAGGGAAAAATGAAAATATGAATAACAATAAAAATAGAAAAATTTTTAGCAGATATAAAGAAATATTAAAATAAAATTTAAATATATTACTACTTTTACTATTAAATATTCTATTACAATTTTTTACAGTTTCTTTATTTAATTCTGTTTAATAATTCCTTTTAGTACCTATATAAATACAATTAACCGAATCATTCAATATTTTGTTCCTTCCTATGTATAATATACGTATTAACCACACAAGTAGAATCCTTACATATAAAATATCTATTTCATTATCTATTTTAATTACCAAAACTAAAACTACAAAATTTCACCTACCAAGTAAAACAAAACTAAGTGCACAACATTTCATCTCAACTCTCATAATCCTCAATTATTATTACAGACAATACCCCAAGTAATATATTTATAAACTTAATAAAAGGAAGAGGAAACATGATGCCGTTGGAAATCCCTATTGTTTCAGAGTCAGACAACCAGAGGGCGCACAGTCGAAAGTATAACGTTCCGAACAAAAACGCATCGGCACGCTCCAAGTGTTCCATAGAAGCGTAAGAAATATTTTTCCAAAGGATTTCGTCCGTAGAAGTTTGCGCATTATTTCTCGGCTTTCTGCCTTCACGAAGAAAATAGGAGGAGGTACAGAGAAAGAGAGAAAGAGAGGATTTTATCCCGGACTCAGTCATGTGCAACAAAGGAGTATTGATATGGACCGTGCTTGTGAAACGGGCCAATAGCTGTGGCCGCCATTGTCACCCGTGGCCAGATCTATACCAAAGATATCTTCTGTATTCTTCCAACTACAAATTCCTCTGGTCAATCTTTTTTTTCTTCCTTTTTACTTTTTTTTTTTTTTTCTCTTTTTAACCCCTCCCTTTCCTATCGCCGTACGTACCTTTGCACTTTTAGCCAGCCTCCTTGGCAATACGTCGATTCCAACATTGGAACATTAAGCGCGTGTAAAGGCTATATCAAAAAAGGAACTTTGTTCTTATTACGAAAATTTAAATTTGGCTTTGATATGCCGATCTTACGTTTACGATAAATCGTTATCATTGATTAATCGTCGTCTTTTTGTAACTTTTTGTAACTTTGTCGTTCGTTATTTTTATTTGTTCTCTCTTATTTAATAATGAGATAATTATACATCATTTATATATTTTGAATAAATTTATCTTTATTAAGATGAATATGTAACTTTGTTGTTTTATCGTATTGTATTTATATTAATAAATTTGTGGAACGTAAATTTATAAATTCGAAAGCTGAGAATTAATTATTTTATAAATTTAAAAGTATACATAGATTAATTATTTTGCTGTCATGTAGATTATTTTGTGAATTTATTCGATTAAAGTTATGAGAGTAATTTTTTGTGATTTTGAAAGTTAAAAAATTGTATATTTTAATATAAATATAATAGAATAAAATACACTTAAAAAAAAATAAAAATAAGAATTTTTTCTTCAAATTTTGATTTATAAATCTCTTGTATCATTAAAAACATAGTAGACACCCTTTTACTAAGCTATGAAGAAAATAAGAGTAATGGAAAAATGGAAAATATTCATATTAATTTTGTTTCCTCAAATTATCGAGATATTTGGAATATTTCTGAACTTAGTTAGAAACTGGCGATTAATTGGGCCGATATCGATGAAATATTTCGTCAGCGCGTGATAATATTTCGAGTTACATCGAACTTAATAACCGGTATGAATGGTCAGCCCGGTAAATCTGTTATCTGTATCAACAATCATGAATTATCATAACGAAATCCGTGCAGAAGTGGATATTGTTATGTCCGTGACACGATATTCAAATGATGAAACAGATTGTAGGTCATCGTTGAATATTTTATGAGTTGTTGCGGGATGGTGAAGTTGAATTTATTACATAAACTTTACACGGACCACGAGCTTACGACATGATACTTGATGTTAAGGTGATAATACGGTTCGTTACGCTCTCTACAGAATTTATAATCATACCCTTGTTCACTTGTGACGCGACACTTTCATTTCGGAATAATAATTAAATCCTTCTTGAAAATTAAATATATTCAAAATGACAATTCAAAATAATGAATAAATTATATGTATTATGAAATTTACAGACTATTGTAGAATTTTAACAAGATTTGTCCTATTTGTTCGGTCATTTTTTCCTTCAACAATTTCTTTTTTGATCTTCAAACATTTCCAACATTCTATCGAACTGAACGAAAGTTCCATTAAAATTTCATGGTTACGTGTGCAGAGAGGATTGATCGATTCGAACAAGTTTTCTAAGTAAAGTTCTGCATAATCGACGGTTCGCCATGGGATATATATTTTTTAAAAGTCAAAGTATAGAAACTTTATTTATAACTTTTTTTTTTTAAACTTCTTTTTTCACAAAATTTAAATTTATATGTTAATATATATTGTTTAGATAGATATTTCCATTTTATCAATAGTGATAATCAAAATATATTATATCGTGTGATTTGATTAAAAATTTTTTCCTTATTTTATGTAATATTATTGATAAAAAATTAATATCTAAAATTGCTATCGTTGTATCGTGAATTGTTCTTGATTTTTTTAAATATTTCTAATATTTTTGTTTGTTGAAACCAATTCCTAAATTATTATTGATAAATTATGATATAAGAAGAGTTTAAATATAAGCATGAAATAAAATGTTATATAGAATAGCAACGTTATGGCTCTCAGTCGGTAACTCAAGCAAATAAATTTATAGAAAGTTTCTTAGCGCATGCGTGTTTCGCACAATTCAATGTTTCCCTCTGTAATTTTCTTTGAATTTGTCTCTCAATGTTTTCCTCTTTCTTTCTTTTTTCTTTCTCACGAAATCACTGAAAGGTTTTATCTTCTATTCCATTATGATTTCATCGCTCGAGTGCTTTTTATTTCAAACGTACATAAAAAAGTCCTTTTCTTTTTAATATTTCCTGTTTTTCTTGACACACCTGAGTCATCAATCTTTTCTCTTCTTTCGCTCTTTTTTCAAGCCTCATATAAAACATATGCAAAATTCGAAAATTTTAAAATTAATATTTTTTAAAATTTAAAAGAGAATATTCTTTTTAATAAGAATTGCATTTTCTTAATGGAAAATAATTAAGAATTGAGATAATTCACTTGATAATTAAACAAACTATTAATTATTTTTATGAATTTTTATTTTGATTTGATTTTTGCCTTGCATAATACATATAAAATTATATATACATGTGAAATTAAATAAATCGATGTAATTTATATAAATTCTTAAAAATAATTTCATAAATTTCGCTCTGTACATCAGGTGCTTGAAATGAATATCTTTGGATTGCTTCCAAATCAATTAATCTGAATCAATGCTCGGAAATTCGATTTCCGATCGGCTTGAATTTCAATAAACTAGGCACGTGGAATTCAATCACCATTGCCAAATTCTTTAATTATTTGATATATCATATCCATTGAATACAATATTATTACTTTTAACTTTAAGAATCGCGAAATCCCTTCCGTTCGTTTCACAATATTCCGTCAAAAGAAGGAAATAATGAAAAAAAAAAAAAAAAAAAAAAAGTAAAAAATTTTTCATTTTCATTAACTCCCTCACTCTCGTCAGATCGTTCCCTTTCATTTTTCTTTCAATAAAATTCGAGTGAATTATCGTTGAGATTAACGCGACAATTGAACGACAGGGTGGCGCCGCATCATCGTATGGCGATTTTTAGCTGCGATATAAATTTCATCCAACTTCCAGGATATTAAGGGGCCCCGAAAAAAAAAAAAAAAAAAAAAAATAGTAAAAAATTTTTCATTTTCATTAACTCCATCACTCTCGTCAGATCGTTCCCTTTCATTTTTCTTTCAATAAAATTCGAGTGAATTATCGTTGAGATTAACGCGACAATTGAACGACAGGGTGGCGCCGCATCATCGTATGGCGATTTTTAGCTGCGATATAAATTTCATCCAACTGACAGGATATTAAGCGGCACAGCTAAAAAAAAAAAAAAAAAAAAAAAAAA